TCATGTATACTTATAATAATCTTTATAAATTAGAAACAGTTGGAATTAACAACAACAATAACAAAATAGAGCAATTACAAAATACTCTAAGAACCTGTGTGAATGTGGTCTCTCTCTCTCTCTTTCTCTTTCTCTCTCTCTCTCCCTCTCCTCCAGGGTGTGTAGTGGAAACAGTGTAGTGATGCTGGACAGAGGAACAATTCATGTCCTGGGCAGGAGGAAATAAAGGGGTGCAAGTGATGCTACTCAGAACAATGATTTAAAGGGTGTAATTGTTTATTTTTGGAACTGTCCATTAATATTTGTGGACCATGATTAACCACAAGTCAGTGAAGTTCTAGGAAGGAAAACCTCAGGCCAGGAGGATGAAAAAACAAAACAAAGCCAAACAGAAACAAAGGTGATCCAATTAAAAGCTGAACAGTAAACTGGAAAAAACATATCTGATGCTCAAAGATATTCTTGAGTTATACAAATAAGTAAGGATGGAAAATCCCAATAGGAAAAAGGAATAGACATAAGCCATCAGTATGTGAGAATTTCTCTTAGCAAAGAAAAGTGCAATAAAATTGCAGATTTCCCAACTATCAGTTTGGAAACATTTCTCCAAATAAACTCCATTATTGGAAAATGCTGAGAATGGCTTTGCCTGACCCCTGCTGGTGGGACTGTGAAATAAGCCCTTTTGTCAGAGGATACTGGTGAAAAGCCTTTAGAGTGTTTGTATCTTTGATCTTGCAATTCCAGTGCTACGGTTTTTATCAGGGAAATAACTGGCGATAGGCATAAAGACAGTCACATATTTCACTGCATCTTTATACAAGCGAGATAAAATCTTTTCAAAAACCAGAGCTTTTCTTGGACTGAAGAGCAGTATCCTGATGGTATCTATTCACATTTACCGAGCACTTCTGTCAGGTGCTTTTCTAAACACTTTCCATGCATTAACTCCTGGCGATGCTCACAGCCCAACTGGGGCTTCCAGGTTCATTCTAGGACCTGCTGTTCCACAAATGAGGAAACTGGTCCTTAGAAGAATGAAATGACTTGCCCAGGGCCCCACAACACGGTGAAAGAAAGCTGGGCTGGCCTGGCCTCGGGGTACCAGTAACAGAAAGCCACTCAAATTAACATTCGTTTGGGGGAAAGGTTTTAAAGAAATCTGTGAATTTAAGACTGACCGAGAGCTTCCTAGAGGCCAGGCATTGCTTTAAGCACTTTCCAGGTACTAATAATTTTACCTAGGTACTACTCTGAAGTTCACATTGCAATGGAGGAAACTAAGGCAAGAGAGAGGTTCAGAGGCTTCAAGATGGAAACAGACAGCAGTGATGCAATTAATAATGACCAGTTGGACAGCAGGCTCCAGACCACATGCTGTCACCTGGATAACCAGAGCTTGGCGGGGTCCACACGTAGGAACAATACTGTCAAGACTTCTCTGCTTGCCTCTCCCTTGTTCGGTGGGCTTCCCCTTGTGTTTCCAGAACGGCAGCCTCAAGCCCACATTGTCTCCACAGCTCAGCACACCGGCGCAGTAGTGAAGGTCTTAAGGTCTTTCCCTTCTCTGGGGACTGAGAGGTCTGCTGTGTCTTGTGTGCTTCCCCTAGGACGAGGCCAGCTGTCTGAGGCCTGAGCAGGAAGGAGGAAAAGTAGGTTCTCACAAGAGAGGATGCTGGCTGGACACATGCACACCCACAACGAAGACAGCTGGCTGTGGTCAAGGGTCAAAGTAAAAGCCGTTGATGATGGTCCCACTATGTGCCCAGTGTTTGCAAGGCTCTGGGGAGCTGAGACAGGAGCGCTCCCCGATCAGTCGGGGAGAACACAGACACAAGGAGAAGGACAATAAAACTTGCTACTCTCTGGAACAGTGACATAAACAAAGAGCAGCTGGAGGCCAGGATCAAGGAAATACTGATTAAAAAGTAAATAGAAAGCTAGGTGTGGTGGCCTAGGCCTGTAATTCCAGCACTCTGGGAAGCTGAAGCAGAAGGATTGAAAGTTTGAGCTTAGTATGGGTCACTTAGCCGCTTAACAAGGCCTGTTTCAAAAAAAAGTTGGGGGGGTTTGTCTGGGGCTGTAGCTCAGTATGAAGACCCTGGGTTCAAGCACCAGTTTAAAAAAAAAAGGAAGCCAATACCGGGTCTTGAAGTCCTGAGAAACCAAATGAAGCAGCAGTGATGGTACTACTGCTACCCAAACGTATACCCTATGCCAGGCACTATGCTAAGCAATTCCTATACATCTGTCTTTATTCGGGTACCCGCTATTTCACAGATGATGAAACTGATACGTGGATGAAATAATGTGCCCAAGAACCTACAGTGATGGACACAGGATTCCACAGTCTGTAAATGTCTTCAATCGAATACTGTTGTTAGGGGGAAGCCAGCAAAGATCATGGTCACACTCATTATTTTTCTCACAAGTAATTCACATTGAAAATGAACATTTCTTCACTGGTAGCAATCTGATACCATATAACCATAATTAAAGTGTCACAGTATACACACTACAGAGTTTATTCAGTGGACCCCAGCAAAGAAGACGTAGTCATTAAATACTGGATTTTTTCCAACACGCTTTTAAGTATCATCAACATAGCGTGTGAGCAGTGCCATTTAAAATATCAGGAAAAAAAAAAACTGGAAGGATTTCAGGTCCAAAAACAAAGGCCCGAACCCACCAAAGCAGAAACCTGAGCTGACCTGCACATACCACGTATGGAAACCCTGGAATCCCCGTGATGCTCCTGGGACTATTTGGTTACAAGGGAGACCCAGAACTGACCTTTCTTCCAGGAGACAATCAACAGAAGGCCGTATTTAATGGGACGAATTTACTTCCCATTAACAAGACTTCTAACCTTGTGCAAGAGAAAGAAGGGAGGGTAAAGTAGAGATGAATCTTAGTTCTTTAGGAGCCTGAAAAGAAAAGAAAGGGGAAAGAACCTGCAAAAGGAGGTATTGTTTAGAAAGGCCATATGATCTCCCCTGCTTTAAATCCTTTGCTCAAATAAGTATAGAAAGGCTAAAGAATAACAGAAACAAATCAGTGGTAACTTGACTCTTTTATTAAATATTTTTTATTACATTCCTTTCACAAATACCCACAACATTTTGATATTAAAGCACACCTGCCGAGTAATTCACATTTTACTTCCTGTACTCCCCGGGCTGTGGAATCCTGCATTCAACCTGTCCCAAACCATTTTTCTTGCTAAGTCATAAATCGCAGCAGAATACACCACCCTTTATTCAGGACTCCCATAACCCCATAACTCCTGTTGTGGCACTGTATTGGAGCCATTGCCACCACTAGATTCCTTCCTTGGTGCTCACATTTTGTCACATGTAGCTGCTCATAAAATGATTGTTGGTTGAATTAACAAAGCACTTCTGTACATATATAAATATTGCATTTTTTTTTTGTTGTTTTGAGACAGGGTCTCGCTCTGCAGTTCAGGCTGGCCTTGAGCTCACTTTGTAGCCCAGGCTGGTCTCAAACTTGCAATGATCCTCCTGCCTCAGCCTCCTGAGTGGTGGGATTACAGGTGTGTGCCACCATGCGTGGCTCATGTATAAATATTGTAATGCATTATCTTGTAGTGTGCCTCCATGGTCATCTTCACCAGGAGCTCTCCAAGTGCAATGCCAATGTCTTACGCATCTCACTGCCTAGCATGATGCCTAAGAGTTCCTAGCAAATAGCAGATGCTCAGTAAACACTCAGATGGTTAAGCACAAAATTTCTCAGCGCATGACTCAGTAAGAAAAGAGTGGAGAATAATAAGCAGGATTATAGATGGAGAAAAAGTTGTGAACTAGTGAAAGCCGGTTTATAGGTGCTGAGTCATGGTGGGAAAAGGTGGTTTGCTGAGAAAGTAAGTCTGTCCCCAGTTGCCAGGTTTAGGCAATGTTTCAGAAGCAGGGAGATGGGGGCTCATGAGAACTCTTACAGGTGCTCTTCTCTTAAACCATTCAACAAATCTAGAGGCAGGTCTAATCATCCCTGGGCAGAAGGAGAAATAGAACAGAGAGGTTCATTTCTTGTCCAAGTTCAGCTAAGTGGGCAATCACTTAGCTTAGTGGGAAGTGGTCATTCACTTCCTCGGTGGGAAGGATCAGGAAGTCAAGAATAATTGTTACACAGAGCAAAATTTAATTGCAGCAAATAAGGAAATTATGGGGAATCCATACCAAAGTTGAGACTCCCCCAAAGCTAAGACAAGCTGCCTTTTGTTAGGTCAGGGAATGCATGCTCAGGAGGAGGGCAGGAAGGCGACTCATCTTTGGGTTAGGATGATCCTGCACAGGCGCATTCTGACGGCATGCCTCATTTCCCACGTTGCAGGTATGAGGCTCTTAGCTTTTATCTGGGTGGAGATTTCAGTATTACAATGAAGCAAAGTTTGCCTCCCAGTCACAGGTGCACACTCTTTAGGGTAGTGTGTACAACGTTACTTCTACAGATCAACTTTCCCTTGGGGTTCTGAGTACCGTGTGGGAGAGCCTGCATGCTGCTTTCCTAGGCGGATCCTCTGCTTACGAGACGAGGTGCCCACTTGGCTGGTCCAGCGGTCCTTTCCTTCTCCCAGGAATCCCTCAACCCATTCAAGTCGAGCAAGGTGACTCCAGAAAACCAGGGGAGGGGACTGGGGGTTGAGACTCTAGGGCTGGACTGAGGATATCGTTTTATATTTTCATTTTGGTAGGCTAGAGAAAGCTCCACAAGCTGGTCTGCACATCTGTGCCCTGCACGAATTCGGCATTATAATCTTGGTCCTTCAGGGCTTCCGTAGATCAGAATAAGTTTAGAAATCTTCAGTATTTTAGAGACCAGAAAAGATCAATTGTATTTTACAATTTATATCGCCTTTGTGGACCTGAAGGCGGACTCTAAAACGTCAATTCCAGCTTCTCATTTACAGACCCCCCAAACATAATTTAGTCTCCACCCTTGGCGTCGGAAGACCCGCCCCGGCAGAGACAGGAAGTGCTATGTATGACGTCATTTCCGCCCCGCTTTGGGTGGTGCCAAGATGGACGCTCCGTGGGCTCGGGAGCATCTCCGCCGGCGTTACTTGCTGCCCACTGACGCCGAGATCCGGCTGGACCGCGAGGGCGACATCGGGCGGGGTGAGGCGCTCTCCCCGGACTTGTTCCAAGCTGCCCCGAGCTTTTCGGATACGAGGCGCCCGAAAGCCGCCCGCCCCGGGAGTCACAGCCCGGCCCAGTCTGGGGGAGGCAGGGTTTTATTTTTCAAGACATCCCAAGTCATTGTGCAGGTCGGGTGCTTAGTGTCGTGAAAGACTCTTAGAGCTCGTGTAGCCCCGCGCATCTCCATCTCAGCTGCGCTGCAGGATTCCCTGGACAGCGGGTTTAATACTTGTTTGGAAATACCCAGTAAAACTACGCATAAGCCCTAAGTCTTAAGAATTTGCGAAGAAATATGTTTGAGTCATCACACTGAGGCATGTGCAAAATGTTTTTGTTTTTGTTTTTGCTGGTACGAAGAGTCAGACGCAAGGCTTTTGCCCAGAGCTATATCCTCAGCCTTAGTTATTATTTTCAGATTTTTGAGACTGTCTTGCTGAGTTGCAACGTTGCCCAATTTAGATCTTCCTGCCTCAGCTACCCAGAGTGCTGGGATGACAGTACCGGCTCGCACCATCGCGTCTGACTTGAGTGTATTTTACATATGGACAGGTTTTTATGTACCAGTGTGGATGATTTTCAAAGGGAGTTGTGTGCCACCGTTTGGGCAGGAAACATAACTTGTGTGTTCACCCCTGGATGCCTAGAGCATGAAAGAATTCAGTAGAGATTGATAGTGATGGTTGCTTCTGGGCGGGGCATCTGGCGATAAGGACAGAAGAGAATTCATTTTAGTTCTTTTTATCTTGTATATTGGAAGACCATGTCTGTATATTACCTTTCCAAAATAAATACAAGTATCATTCCACAGCATAGTAATTTATAAGTTTTGAGGCTGTCTCCCAGTCTGTACAGTGAACAATCTCCTTGGATTCTAACGTCATTTAGAGGTCCAGCACCCCACCTATAGACCAGTGGTTCTTACATGAACATAGAGGGCCTAGAAATGACTTGTGTTTTATCTACTGAGACTGCTGTGCTGAGACTGGGGCTATGGTTTCCCCTTTCCAGATGAGCTGCCTCAAAAAGGTGTTTGTTTAAAATAAAATCCTTTGTGGTAAGGTGTTCTTGGAAAGTCACGTGTCCATTTCATACTCTCACGTTTCATTTGGTAATTTTTTAAACACGAGTAATTACTATCCCAGAGAAAATGTGAAGCATAATAATAAAATTCCTAGATGTCTAGATGGATCAGTTGTATCCAAAAGATGATAAAAGTGTGAATTTGATTTCAAAATTCAAGTAAAGGAAATAAGTTGACTGCATTGTAAGAGCCAATTAATTATGTAAATATAAACCTTTCTTGATTTATAGAAGGATTTGGCACTAATGGAAAAGGTTCTGGTTATTAGGGAGCAGTGGCCAATGACTGGCTTAAAGTAGGCGTAATTTTTCTTGTGAAACTGTAAACTTAGTAAGTTGAAATCTTTCTTATTTGCAGAAAGCTCTGCAACTGTTGAGAAAAAGGAGAAACCTCTTCCAAGACTTAATATCCATTCTGCATTCTGGATTTTAGCATCCGTCATCTTGACCTATTATGTTGATTTCTTTAAAACCCTTAAAGAAAACTTTCACACCAGTAGGTAAGAAAACTTTATTGCTTCATAGTTAAATATCTTTGTCTTATGTTTCGTGTTGCATTTTGTCACTTGAATTCTTCAGACATTTAGTAAACGTCTAGTTTCTGCTATACACCATGTTGGAGGTGCTGTGATGCAGAGAAGAATAAGTAGTGTTGGTCAAAGGGTACAACTTGTGGTTCTGAGACAAATAAACTACTGTGTTGGGTAATTGGCATTTGCTTGGGGGATAGATTTTAAGTGTCTTTACCACATGCAATGATGAATTCGAAGTAATGCATACTAAACTGCTTGATTATAGTAATAATTTTTCAGTGTATACGTCAGATCATCACATTGTACACCTTGAATTTTTGCAGTTTGTCAGTTATGCCTCAGGAAAATGGAAAGTAAGAGGATGTGTGCTCTGGGCAGGCACAGCAGTGTGCACGAGAACGGAGGGTTATTTCTGCTCACTTTTTCAGCCCTAATGTGTTGTAGGATGAGGAAAGTAGTGAATTTTACAAGTTCTTATTCCATTTGGAAAAGAACAAAAGAGAACGGGTAGCTGAAGCTTTATATGAGGTTTACAAAGGGCAGAGCACTAGGAGGAAGTGGCCGGTGAGAACCGGCTCTCAGGGTGTGTTTCAGAGCAGTCACAGCCGGCAGGGTAACTAGAGCGTGTGAGGACGTTTCGTGAAGGTCACCAGTGGGAGGAGTCGGGAGCTTCGTGTCTGGGTGTTACAGACCCTCATTCACAGGGACTGAGATCCTGCCGGTCTAATCTCAGGAGTAGATACGGAGCAGAGGCTGTGAATTACACCCCAAGGTTCTCAGACAGATGTGGAGGCCCCCAGCGAGCAGAAGAGGGAGCTGGCAGAGCTGGTATTGGAGGACTGGCTGGTGTGGAGTGGAGAGCAGTTAGAATCAGTGTGTCTGTGGGGTCTGGAGGCTGGCCCTGGTGGGGCCCCCACCCGGTGCCTGGGAACCTTGCCTGCTGCGGCCCTCTGCTCTCCCTGTCTGCAGTGTGGGCCACTGGTCTAAACCCCCTAGGAGCAGAGGGTGATGGGGCAGGATGGGAAGGGCTCCCCACATTTGGATCCGCCTGTGACCAGTGGGGGCTGGAAGGAAGGGGCTGTCCGCGCTGCTGCCAGTGGAACTGTAGTGAGGAAAAAACCATCTTTCTTTGAGGCAGAAGAGAAGACATGCAGAATCGAAGAAGTGTCTTAGTCTGCTTTGTTTGGCTCTAAGGAAGTACCAGACGCTGGGTGCTGTGTAAAGAAGTTTAATGGGCTCATTTCTGGTGGCTGCAGGTCCCGGTGGCGTGGTGCCCCTGGCTGTGTCACAACATGGTGGGGAAGCAGAAGGCAAAGTGAGTGTGTAAAGAGCACGCATGTGTATGAGAAAGAGAGAGACAGAGAGAGAGAGAGAATGGCCAAGGAGGGGTACCAGGCTTTATACCATCTGGCTCTGGAAGGGACCAGTCCAGGGCCTCAAGAGTAAGGACACTTTTCCTGCAAGAAGAACATTAACTCCTTCCCGGGGCGGTCAGGACCCAGTCGTCTCCCGTGTTCCCTCCTTGTAAAGATCCCACCAGCTTCAGCGCTGTTACACTGGGAACCACGATTCTAGCACCTGAATCTTGCGGTGATGTACAGATCATCCCCTAGTTATTGCAAGTGGCTTCTCTTTCAATATGAGAGAGAATTTGGAGTCAGCATCTATCTTCCTAACTGATTTCTAGTATTCCACAACGCTCTGCTTACGCTGGAGGAGTTCGTGGTCCTCCCTGCTGATCTTTCTTCTTCTCACACTCAAGACTTGAGGAGCAACCAGGAAGCTGCCCTCTTCCCCGTGGGTTTAAGTGTACCGCATCGCCGTGACTGGGCTCTTTCCGGGGCTCCTGGCTGGTGAGAACAGAGCCAGGCGTGCGGCTGTAAAGTCTCACTTTTTAATCCCGACCTGAGTCACATGTCTCCTCTTTTCTCACCCCTGCGCCACAAGAGGTTGAGACTTACTGAAAGCTGAGATCGTACAGTTTTGGGTCTCTTCGCACCCCTTGTCCAGGTGACCTCTTCTTAGAAAGGTGACCCTTTTGGCTGTCGATGGCAGCTGCTGAGGCACCTACCGATCGGCTGGTGCTCTCAGCCCCGGGCTCTTTTCTCTCTGCAGTTGGTTTCTCCCGGGCGCTGCCTTGCTGCTCGTCAGTTTATCCGTTGCGTTTTACTGCATTGTCTACCTGGAGTGGTACCGTGGCGTTGAGGAATACGACGTCAAGTATCCAGCGCTGGTGCCCGTCACAACGGCCACTTTCATTGCAGCGGGAATTTGGTAAGTTAACTTGGAAATGAGGACTGTGAGTGAGAAACACATGGTTTTCCTCATCAGGTAATGATGTGTTTGGCCCCAAACGATAAAATAGAAGCAAAGTGTAACAGGACAACAGTTTCCTAGCCATTCCTGTTCTTCAGGCCCTTTTCATTAGTACAGTTGAACCTTGTGCAGTTAACAGCTTGGGCAAAGACCCTAGGTTTAATTCTCCTCCCCGTTTTAAAATTTTGAGGCAGGGTCTTGCTGCGTTACCCAGGCTGGGCTCAAATGTGGGATCCTCCTGCCTCAGCCTCCCAGGGTGCTGGGATTATAGTCATACTACAACACCAAGCTCACTTTGTCTGTTTGGTGAACTTTATGGAAATGGGTTTATGTGGTGTCTTTATTTCACATTTGATTCCGTGTGTGCTGCTGTACAGTTCGTGTTGCTTCTCAGTGCCGTTTATTTCATTGCTGTTCAGCGTTGCACTGTATGACTGAGTCCGGTTGACCTGCGTCACTGTTGACAGCGTGGGTTGTTTCCAGTTTGTCGCTGTTATGAAGGATGCTGCTGAGAACATTCTTGTGCCTGTGTCTTGTGGCAGATGTGCATATGAGTCTGTCGTGTGTGTGTGTGTGCGCGTGTACATAGGCCTGGGGCTGAGACCCTCAGGCCATAGAGTGCAGACTTCCAGCTTGAGCGACTAGCGCCAAAGCGGTTTCCAAAGTGGTGGTGCCATCAGCCCTGTGTGTTCATGGGTTCCTATATAACTGTTTGTAGTTAACTTCTGTTAAATTCAGTCCTTAAAAATCACTTGTACTTAGTGTTTGATTTTTAATTTGGTGACAGGAAATAGTGTTTTTTCAATGAAAAACTTCACAGCATCTTGTAAATAATTACTCCTCCTCCGGGTTTTATTTGCTAGCGTGTGAGGCATAAAAGCCTGCTGCGGCCATTCTAATTCATGGGGCGCTGCCGACGCTAATTTGAGAGGCTTAGGTTTCTGTTGAGCCAGGCCAGCTCCTGTTACAGGCCCAACTGGATCCAGTTCCAGGAAGTTGTGCCCGGCCTGGAGTGTACGTATTGTGTTCTTTCTAACATTGCCTAAGCCACGTGGCTGAGAAGTTACGGGATACATAGAAAGTTGCTGGCTGGATGAACCTTTTCACACTGTGCTCCTTAAACAAAGATTCCTGCATAAAATGTGTTTGTGTATGTTAAATTACAGTCATCAACTCTTCCCCTGATGTTTGGTCCTTTCAGTTTCAACATTGCTTTGTGGAGCGTGTGGTCATTCTTCACGCCACTCTTGCTGTTCACCCAGTTCATGGGGGTCGTAATGTTCATCTCACTCCTCGGATGAGCTGAAGGTAAGGCGCCTACAGTGGTGTTTCCCATGGGGAGCGCATTGGGAAGGGCCTTTTGGGACAGTTCGAGGGACACAGCTCTGACAGACTCCTGAGTTGCATCCAGTTGTGTTTGCAGCAGAGCTGTTCACCCACTGGCCTCTGAGGTACAGGGACGGAGACCTCTGTCCTCATGGAGAATTCAGCGTCGAGTGGCTGCTCTTCAGGAAAGGCGCCCTGCGTTTCCGAGCCCGCTTACAGGCAGCTGAGTTCACATGTGAGGCTGTTGTATATTGGAGCCAGCTTCTGTCAGCTCTTAAGGAGTGGAAATTTGGAAAAATGGGCAATTCGACCTAATTGGGGCGAAAATCTCTGCAGTTCCATCTATCCTGGCTGCCTCAAAATTTGACGGATCGGGGCTGGGGATTTAGCTCAGCGGCAAAGTGCCTGCCTGGCAAGTGCAGGGTCGTGAGTTCAGTTCCCGGTACCGGAGAAAAACCAAAAAACAAACAAACAAAACAAAACAAAACAAAAAATTTGATGGATCAACCTTTCTTTCCCATGCTGTGTAAAGAGTGTCTGTGTCCTTAGACCTTCCCAGGCCTGCTTCCTTACGTGGTGGGGTTGGTTTCTGAGCCATTTTTCAGAGAAATGTGTAGTTCTGAGACTATGCCCACCGCGTGTCTAGGGGCACGGGGAGAAGACAAAGACCGTGCCGTCATGCCACTCACACCACAAGTGGCAGTCCCGGAGGATGTCAGCTTCTGCCACTGTTCGCAGATGCGGAGGCTGAGGCCCGGAGAAGGGGGTCCTGCGGCCCGTGGATGTGTGCCGTCCCCGTCGGCCGCACCACGCACTCCATGGGTCTGCGGGGACGGTCTCGGACTGCCTAAAGAAGAGGTGGTCGCGGCCCTCTTCCTGCCACTCTGAAAATGGTTGCTAGCACTCGTGACGGTAGTCGTGTCCTCCAGACGTCGCACTGCGTGGAGGGACCTCTGGCGTCCTGTGGTGGCCCCTCGTCCCCGTTCGTGTGCATTGCTGAAGCAGCTCAGGGCTCAAAACGTTCGCTACTCCTGCCCCGACTCGCACGCACTCCCGTGGCCGCCCGGGGGGTCTCCCGGGGCTGTTGTGACTCAGAGGCTCCGGAGCGCTGAGCTGTCATACTGGGTGCTGGAGAAGGCCGTGCGAGCGGGGCATGGAGGCTGAGCTGTGCCTCTTCGTGTTAAAGGCACGAGTGGAAGACAGGATGTTTGCCCTGGGACTTAAGTGCTGGTTTCCTTTCAGATCTGAGGACGTGGACATTTAAAAGGAGCGATTGGAAGTCCAGCCTGCCGAGCTTCGCAGACCGTGGGAAAGCCGCAGTGTGCTCTTGTGTCTGTGAGGGGATGCCTGGGACTCCCGGGAGAAACTCTGAAGATCTGTTGGTGAAATTAGAATAAAGTTTATTCCTTTTGCCCAAATGATTATTCAGTTTTTCAGAAGTCTGTGTTAAATAGAAATAACTATTTTGAGAAGTTAATCTGAACTTTTGGAAGAAGTAGTGGTTTCATTGTAGGTCTGTAACATGTTCCCAACATTTTAAATGAATGTCACTTTGCTCTTAAGGGATAGGAATTTACTGTCTACAAGGACTGGGTGTGTGTGCAGAGGAATCAGTGTTGCCATGTGCCTTTAACCCCACTGTAGTAAATACTGTGTGTCTCATTTTATGGCAGTTGTGTTAGGTGGCGGGACCAAATAGAAAGACTGTATGTTTTCTCATCACTTTTGATTTTACCATTGTGTAAATTATTGGATTTTTAGCATTTTTAACATATGAGCTTTTAATTATCTTAAGTGTGTATTTTTCTGTAACATTTAAATAAAATATTTTTATTATTTTCTTGTGCATTTTATTAATAAAACTTTGGAGTAGCTTGTGATTTTAGTTGTTAGCACTTTACACAAATAATGCAGGCTTCTCTTCAGAGGTTACCCTGCTCTCACCATGGTGTTTGTGTTTTCAGATGGTGAGACTGATGCACTGCCGCTGTGCTAACGGGGCATGTAGTGTTGTGTTTTCAAGTGCGGGCTGTCCGCTCCTGACCTGCTGTCATAGCATGGTGAGCATGACTTCCGACGGACTACACCCTGCCCCTGACTCGCTGCAGGCCTGCGGTCTAATTAACATTTTCCAGATGCAGACTGGAAATATTACCTGCCTGTGGGGTTGGTGATAATACAAACAATGTCTGTGAAACACTTACAGTGCTACCTAGCACACAGGTGCTCATTCTGTAAGTGGTAATGGGAAGAAGGAGAGGCTGGAAGCTGGGATCAGGACCTTCACGTCCGGTCACAGTGTCTACCAAGGGAAGTCAGGTGTCATCCGCAAACAGTCCGATCCAGCGTGGGCGCACACGTGTGGAGGTGTGTAGACCGCATCATTTAAAATGGGGGGCAGGGCCAGGCAGCAGTGTGAGGGGCTGGACGGGCTGCAGGCTAAAGCCTGAGAACGGGAGCATCTGGTCCAGACCTGCTGAGGGAACCAGGGTGGGGCCCCAGTGACAACTCCCACACGTTGTATATGTTTTTGTTTTTCTCAAAGAGTATTTTTGGATAGAAACCTTGGGCTGGGATTTTTGGCCTAATGTGAGTTGTTAAAACAGCCGAGGGCCATTATGGTGCCCAACAAGGATGGTATGGAGAGTACCCTGTTACTTAAAGGAGACATTTTAATTAATTTGTTTCAACAGGGTCGTGCCCAGTCCCTGCTCGTGGTAAATGACTCCTGTGCATATTATTGTTGTTGTTATTATTATTATTATTATTTTATCTTGGAGATAGGGTCTCGCTATGCAGTTCATGCTGACCTTGAGCTTACTTTGTAGCCCAGGCTAGTCTTGAACTTGGCAAGGATCCTCCTGCCTCCGCCTCCCGACTCCTGGGATTAAAGGTGTGTGCCACCATGCCTGGCTCCTGTGCATGTTATTGATGAGCAGTTTGCTTTTTAACTAGTGAAGAATGAAACGCGTCAAGGCATCTTACTACTACGCAAGCCAGTGGGAGGCTTGTAAGAGCAATGAACTGTGCAGCTAACAGCTGGAAATCCTTGTCATCAGCCGGGGGCATGGTGGAAGCGAGGTGTGTTCTGCCACCATCAGTGTCGAGACCAAGTTTGGAGTGTGGGTTACACCAGTTGCACACTGTCAGTCCGGCATACAGGGTCTGATCCAGTTGGTGGATGGGGCTGCCCTGGTTTGACATGTTGTCAGGTGATTCCTGTGTACAGCCTGGGTGAACTACCCTCCTCTCCAGGCAGTTTCGGGAGAGACCTCTGCAGAAGCCAGGGTTTGGGATTGGCAAGAACATAAAGATGACTGAATCTAACCTAGTTTCCTAAAACAGAAACCAGACTGGGATTGCCCCAAGTCTGCATCTGGGACCCTGCTGGGAGGGGAGTGATCTTTCTAGGGAACTTGAAACAGGACAAAGTTCCCGGCTGTATTTTTTTGTGCAGCAAAAAAGTGGTCTCTGGCTACACTTAAGCAAAGAGAAATGTATTGGAAAGGAATGGAGAGAACCGTGACTGTAAGGTAGTTTTGGGAGAGGCCTCGGGAGTAGGAGGTGCTAGATAGACATCCTGTTCAGGGGTCAAGAGGCATCTCAGAAGCTTTGTCTGCCTTCAGCCGTGCCCTTCAGTGGCTCGAGTGATGAGCAGATGGAGCCCAGTGTCCTCCAAGCCACCTAGCCAACACTCACAGCCTGGACCCCACGGTCATCGTAGGCACCACCGAGACTTCTCTGGGTGCCCTTTAGCTGTGGCAGTGCCGACAGCACAGCCAGCCTCCAGACTGCTCGTCTGGACTCTTTCCCGCCGCGTGTTCTGGTTACATATCACTGCCTAACCAGCCACACCAAACCAAAGTGGTCTAAACACTAGCCTCCATTTACTCTGCTCGGGAATCTGAAACCTTAGCAGAGTTGGCAGGACCAGCTTGTTTGCACTCTGGAAAATGCAACTCAACCTGTGGTAGGGAAAGCTCTTTCCAAGATGGCGCCGGGTGTTGGCAAGCGGGGGCTGGCTGTCCGTTGCTTTCTGCATGGACCTCTCCACGCAGCAGGCTGGGGTTCCTCCCAGCAGGGTAGGTGGGACCCAGGAATGAGGATCTTTTTTTTTGTTTTTTCTCCCGTACCGGGAATCGAACTCATGACCTTGCACTTGCCAGGCAGGCGCTTTGCCGCTGAGCTAAATCCCCAACCCCAGGAGCGAGGATCTATGTTAGCTTTTTGTTGTAACATTACTACAAACAGCGGCTTAAGACAATAGAGCTGGATTCTCTTCCCGTGCTGTGTGCGGAAGTCCGGGATGGCTCTTACAGGCAGCACTCCTTTCTGGGGTTTTGAAGCGATCCGTTTCCTTCTTTCTGGTTGGCAGAATTCAGTCTCTTGCAGTTGTAGGACCAACACCACCGTTTCTCAGCTGGCCATTGAGCGAGGGCCACTCTCAGCTTTTAGAGGCCGCCTTTGTTCTTTGCCTTGTGGTCCTTTTCCTCCATGTTCAGGGCCAGTGGCAGCAGCTTGTGACCCTCTCATGTGCTGACCTTCCTGCCTTCGTCTTTCATCTTTATCCTGTTCTCCTGGCCTGCTCTCTGTTCACGCCTTCACTTTTAAGGGCCTCTGTGCTCCCCCTGGGCCCACGCTGGTACCCACCACAGCCTTCCTACTTCAAGGGCCCAAGTCCCATCCTCCGTGTTTCTGTCGCCTCGTAACATAATGTATCACTACTTTCCCATCAGTGGGACAAAACACACGCAATTAAAGGAGGAGAGGTTGCTTTGGCCCAGTTATCAGATGATTCAGTCCATGTGTGATTGGCTCCAAGGCAGGAAAGGCTTGGTAGAAGGGTGTGGTGGGGCAGCCAGGAAGCAGAGAGAGGGGAGGAGCTGGGGACAAGCAGTCACCCTTCCAGGTCACACCCCAGTGCCCCAGCTCCATCCAGGGCCCAGCTCCTAACGGCACACTCAGCTGTGCACTCGTCAGCACCCCGTGACCAGTCACTTTCCAGAAGTCCCGCCTCTGAATACTTGAGGCCTGTGGGGGACGTTTTAGCTCTAAACCATAACACAAAATAAAATGTCAGGAAACAACAGGGACATCTTTGGGGGCCATTATGCTGCCCATCGCAGTGCTCCAAGAGACGAGATGGAGGCCACCCCATCCCTTCTTAAGGCCTAGGCTCAAGAACTAGGAGTGCCATCTCTATTAGAGAGACAAACACAGATTCCAGATTCAAGAGGAGGGGCGTGGCTTCCCACCATCCTGAAGTGTGTGCCTCATCCTCTGAGGAGCCCCTGACGTTGCCCATTTCGAGTGGGGAAATGGTGAAGGCTAGGCTGTCGTGCCAGACGCCCTTCCGCTCAGGCCTGATGACCCAGCCACACTGGGATGCTTGGAGAGCCTTTGGGAAGCACTGATGCTGGGTGGAGACTGGCAGGGACCAGCAGGAGAATCACAGCCCAGAGCCCAGGGATTTGGGAGCAAACCCAGACCCTCTTCTGCAGATGGCTGCTTCCTCTTGGAGAAACAACTTCTCATCGTGTGAGAAGTGACCACAGGACCTGAGCTCCCCATGTGAACCAGGTGGAATCCGATCCACCAAGCTATAAAGCTGGGCATGCACACCAGCGGTACGTTATCAAACGCAAGTGGTCTGTATGGGACTGACCTCAAGCAGGTTTGGAAACCAGAAAGACGCACTTGCGGTGGGCTAGGTCTCTTGCACACCGATTCCTGCTTCATGGCCTCCTTTCCTTAACCCACATCTGAAGCCACTTGGGACTTTCTCTGTGGGCACAAAAGGCTCAGCGCAAGTTCTCAGGTGCTCCTGCTTCACAGGGTGACACCACCCCAAAGTGGACAGCTGCAGCATTACAGCCCCACCCAGTGGTGGCCCTGGAGCACAATGGTAAAGGAAAATCCTCCCAGTGAGAAAGTGGAGGGGCTGGGGAGATAGCTCAGTGGCACAGCACCTGCCTGGCAAGCACAAGATCCTGAGTTTGGTTCCTGGTACCAAAAAAAAGGAAAGAAAAGGTGGAGCGAGTGGTATATTTCATGGTTCAGTTTCTCTGGATTAATAGATATCCAAGATACCAATCTACCTGGACTTACAGATGGTTGATGAAAGGCTGCTGCTTCAGCTCAGGGATCAGTGACTTAGAAAGAACTGTAAGACTGGTGACCAGGAGGCTGGGGGAAGAGGGCTGTGGGTGGATCTCTTGGAACAGAGTGTGGAGATTTGCATCTTGTGCGATGCTCACCAAGGGGCATCCTCTGCAGGGAGGCTGGGCAGAACCCCATGCTCTGTGGACACCTGTCAGCCTCTCCTCAGGCTGCCCAGCGTGAGCTTGATGGGCTCAGTGGCAGGACGTGGCGGCAGGGAGAGAGCCTGCGCATGGACTCAGTAACCCGGAGGTCCCTGGTT